AACCGCAAAAAAAAAAATGGGCGGGGAGAGACGGCTTGTTTGTCGACGGGGGGGGGGGGGGGGTCCTCTGCGTCTTGACCAACGTCGACAATAACGTCAAGCCCAGCTCAAACAAAACAAAAGTGAGCGGGGGGGGGGGCACCGCCATGGAGTACATGCACAAATCAAGACGGCGGGTACCGCGTCGTGGCCGACTTCGACAAACGGACGGCACACTTGGAGGGGCCAGCGGATGCTTCGTCGCATGTCGAAGTGCAAGCTTGGGGGGCGAAATTTCGTTCGTATGTAGGCGTAGGTAGGTGCCTTTGTTTCTTTCAACATTGCGGGGCTCCTTCCTACATGCCGCGGCTCACCTGTCTGGCGTAGGCTTCCCCGTCGTTCGGACTGACCAGTTGGTCGCTCACGTCCGACTTGTTACCCGTCACGATGGACACGCACCGTGGGTCCGCGTTGGCTTCGAGGTGCTTGCGCCAGGCCTGTGCGAGCAACAGCACCAGCGGCGGGAATAAGCAGTAAAAATCCTGAGCAACGCGAGCCGAGGGTAACATTCTTGGGCGCAGGGGCGTATAGCAGCAGCGGCGGCGACAAAAATACCGACTAACCCCCAACCACAAAGCAAGCAGAGGCACCAGCAGGAGAAAAGAGAAGCAGCAGAAGTATCTTGACGAGCGCCGTTCATTCCCGATCTGCTCACAGCAGTTGAGGTCATCCGCAACACCCCAAGCCTACAACAACGAAAACAACGGAGAAAAGAAAAATCGGCTCAAAAACATTCGACCGCCCTGGACGTTTGTCCCGCAGCGTTTCATCTATAGGGCGGGACACATGGCCCGTGTGGACATGTTTCGATTCCGGGAAGACACGACGGAATGACGACCGTATCTCCTGCGGTCCCCCAGTAGTCCCTCACGCTTCTCCCCGACTTCCGTTTTCCCACGGGCAGCCTCTTCGTGCCCTTTGTCCCCCCCCCCCCCCCCCTCCTTCACCTCGAGTCCCACGAAAGAAAATCTGTTCGTGAAGTCATAAAACAAAAGCGAACCCTTCGCCTTTCGGTAGTACGTCTTCATCATGCTCGCGTATCGCTCCTGGCCCGCGGTATCCCAAATCTGACTCCGTCGTCGTCCCCGTTTTGTGGCGTTGATGGTCGAGCGGCAACGCGGGGAAGGGTGGCATGGACAGCCGAGCTTAGGCGTGGAACACTAATCGCGGGCGCTTATGCAACCAGCGTGCAAGGCGCGCCAACAGCGTTTCTTACTATTGGCTTCACGTTTAAAAAACCGTTGCGCGCCAAACCAAAAAACGCTGTGTTGTAGGCATACTGCCGTTGCAAAGTGTTGCAAACTGTCCGTTCTCAATGCCGACGAACTAGAGCGGTACGGCCCCATGGTCCCCGAGGAGTGGGATGTGGATCAGACACGGAACGAGACGCACTCAAAACAGCGGTGAGACGCAACAGGACGCGGCGCGAATTTCTTGATACGAATGAACCCCATCGACCGCGCCATGTCGTGGAGCGCATGTACAGCACCCACATTTGCAACGGCAAAACCATGTCCCTGCAATACAAGTACACTTCTTCTTTTCAAGCAGAGACACGATCCGGGCACGCAGCGCGACCGTCTATTCGGTGGCTTTTTGTCACCGGGAAAAAGCAGCGATCACCTGGAGCTTGACGGGAACGCCATCGACGGTGATCCTCTTCGTCACGAACTCCACCCCGACCGTGCTCTCGAAGTCTTCCGAGAAATCGTTGTTGTGAAACCGCGCGATCAGGTTGCTCTTCCCGACGCCGCTATTCCCCAGGAGAATCACCTGCTTTTAGAGCGGGGGTGAGCCTCTTTGTGTCACATCTTCGGGCGACACAAGCCAGGCAGCCATTTTAGCCGCCTATTCGCGGTATTGCGCCGCCAAAAAGGGTTCTCTTTGCACGATTCCAAACGAAACGGTACGAGTTCACGCATGCCCCCCCAACTCCCGCCCTATCTCCGCACAAAGCTTGAACATTATCATACACATGAACAACGGGCCTCGCGGGCAAAAAAAAGGGGGCGCATTTTTACGGTGTGGAGGGGATCATGAGGGCGCGCGCGAGCCAACCGACCCGACCGCTGAAGACCTGGGCTCGAGAATGATCAAGCCGTATACGGAGTATACAGCAGTAGTACGGTCACGAAGTACACAGTTCGTCGAGAAACAGAGGCTCAAATTTTGACCAAAATTAATTAAAATATGGTGAAGAAGGATTGAAACATGGCTCAGCGGTGGATCCTGCACAAAACTCAGCGTAACAACCTGCGGTCAACAGCAGTGGCGATGAAATAAGAAACTACTGTGCCTCGACCCTATTTTCATGTTCCGGGTCTGCGGGCCCGTACTCTGAATATATATGCATATCAAAGCGAAAAATGAAGAAAAACAAGTTTGAGCACGTGGAAGCATAGATCACGGACGTGCGCTGGCAACAACTACTTGGCGCAGAACCTCAAAAGCCCCAGGCGCTCACAAAGCTGCTGCAATTTTCATGTATGGAATCGGAAGCTTGTGTAGACCTACACATTCTACTGCCGTGTACAGTATCGAAAACTCATCTCACAAGCAGTAGACTAGACAATTCTACTGCCGTTGCATTTGCGTACAGTTTCCATTCGCACAAAATCACGTCTATGCATACGTGACCCTGGATGGTTGTAGTTGTACGAAAAAATACACTGAAATAGTACTCTATGCACATACGCTGAAAAGTGTAGTACACGTCTCACCACGAAAAATGGGGGGACTGTCGCCTATAATAAATAGGACGAAAAATGTAGCGTTCAGAAGGAAAGCGTCGTTTGTGGAAGGCGTTTGTTGAATTCGAAAGAAAGAAGGGGACGGGCGCTGAGCGTCCCCTGCGTGCAAAGTCTTCAGTCTTCTTGTGCACCAGCGTCTCGGGGAAGAGAACGCTAGTGCAGTCAAACAAATAGTTGAGGAAGCGAGAGGAAGGACCATGGAAGTTAGGGCCTTGATCGATTTTCCCACCCGCCCACCCTAGCGCTCAAGAGAGGGAGGGAATCAGGTTGCACAAAGTTGATCGGGTCAACGTCGTGTAGTTTTCCACGTAGTAGTGTAAAAGTGGCTTTCAGATAGCTCGGAAGAGGCTATTCTCTTAGTAGTGTAAAAGTGGCTTTCAGATAGCTCGGAAGAGGATATTCTCGTACCGGATTGGCTGAGTCGTGAATTCGAGTATCGTATAGGGACATCGTAGGGGCGGGGCCCAGAAGAGTGGAGGTAAGGTTCGTCTACATGTGATCTACATTGTCTCGGGTTTTCATCATTTTTCACGTAGAAGATTAGAAAAATAATGCCAGAATTCTTGAGGTGACCTATGAGCGGTTTAGGCTGGCGGAGGCACGAGGTTCCGGCGAGGCGTGTTCGGCTCTTCGTACAATACAGACAGCTGCTGGGTCGGGGGTTGTTTGGAGGCATGGTTTTCTGTATTCTGTTCCTATATATGCACGGCCTCTATAGAATAGTAGAATAGATATAGGAACACAGGTGTATGCAATGGTACACCCGGTAGGGAGGCGGGGGAACAACACTAATTAGTCTTGCAGCAGTAAATAGGCTCAAAGGTACAACCGATGCTGCGCGCTGCCGTTCGCCTCCCTCCTCCTTTACCAACAACGCATCCCCTTCATCTGCTGCCTAGGCTGCTCGCGGGGGAATTGGTTTGCTGGGAAAATCCTTGGCAGGAAGTCCCCACGAGTTTGTGCTACACTGCTGTTCAAAGCCAGCGGACGCGTCACCCAGGATAAAGTGAGGAGACCGCTGTGTTGCGCACACGTTTGCTCTCCAGCCTACAGCCTGCTGAGAGGGAGAGGCAGGCACACACAAGGAATCAAGCTTGCATGTGAGACCCACAGCAGCAAGCAGCACGCGAGAACCACGTGAGTGCCCTCGTCGCACCTTCAACGGCTCCTCCTCCGACATGTTCGCCCTCCCCCGCTGCTCGTCTTTTCAGTGTAGCTTCTTGCGAACGGATGTTCTCTCTGTCCCCCGTCTCTCTTCCTCTCTCTCACCAGCAGCACCCTCCGTTCCAAAGTCTCCTTGCCCTTTAGTTTTCACTCTACTTCACCGATATCCGCTCTTGTATACCACTGGTCCGCGGCGGAGACGATAGCTTTGGACTCGGTCTATGCATGGGACGGAAGAAGCAGAGCAGCTCCCCGTACCACGCGCCGTGGAATAGATATCACAGATCGTAGCATACCCCCAAGACTATAGGGGCTCCGTACAATGCAAGGTTTTCGGTGAGCATCACGCATGCATACTTTGGTTTGGTTCCGGAGGTCAATCACTTTGGAGAAGAGCTCTGCCCGCAGAAGATCTATGTTGCATGCAACAACAAGCAACAGAATACAACCTTCAGCCGAAGGAGCGAACTCCCCATTGAAGTACAAGCCTAGGCGAACAAGGTTCTAGCCAACAACCCTTGGCCAAGAGGAAACTCAAAAGCCGATACAGTACACGTGAGCTCCGAACCGACAAACCGACACGCGAACCAGATTGGGAACCACGGGGCGCCAAAGCGCCGAGCCCGTGCGGAAAGAGGCACGGCTTTGCCACGAGACCCAGCAGTGCCCTCAATCGACTGGTGTGTGGTGGAAGGGGTTAGGGGGGTGCTTGGGCTAGGAGTCAGGGTCCAACCGGTGGCAGCGAAGGCTTCCCTTGTAGGTCATCGTGACACAGCGACACCAATGACGTCAGCAAGACCAAGAGGGCCAGTTTCCCTCTTGACGTTCTTCTTGCAGTTGAGCGCCACGGCAGCGTGGCTGTCCCCGAACGCGTTTCATCACGAGAGGTAGGCAGCTCTTCGACATACAGGTGCTTCTATTTTCGAAAAGAGAGTTCGTGCAAAAACACCCTCTGTAACAGTTTGAGATCTTTGACCATTTGCGTGAGCTGTTGTTGGCACCGCCCGTGGGCCAATCGAAAACGGGCTGCATCCTCCGGTTTCACTGGAGGCTCTCGAAGCCAAGGCGGCAAAGCGAGAGAGAAAATCTGCAATTCCCGACCGGTTTGTATACTTAACCTTGGTTTTTTGAGAAAAAAAATGTCGGGGAGGCTGTTGTTGCGTTCGTGTGCAACTGCGGCACCTCCGTGGCGACATCCATCGAACACTCGAGAGGATAGACTCCGAATCCAAGCAGTTACGATAAAGATGGGGGCGTATCTGAGTGTTTCACAGCACACGGGTGACAAGATAGCGGCAGCAACGCGCCAGCTTCGAGCTCCGTCGGGCGTGAAGGGCTTCGAGATGTTGCGGGCGCAAACCGTTCTAGTTGTATGTCCAGTGAAGACGTGGGAACACTACGTAGAGGGCTTGGAAGATCTCCTCCCCCCCCGCCTGGGCAGCGCTACTACTGTCTGAGGTCAAACTAACGTCTTGTGCACCCAAACCGGAACAAAGCTGTTGCCAACGAGTTGAGCAGAGTGCGTTTTCGAGAGATTTTTCTTTCAGAGAATAATACCCTTTCTTGTCTGCTCCTAGCTCTGGCGCCCTCTCTTCGCCGTTTTTGCGTATGCGAAACAAATGCAGAGGGAAAACAGTGGAGACCGACCGACCCAACGAGGGAGGCTTAACGTCTGGCGTAGTCCTCAGGGTGTCTGGCAGGCGTGTATGCCCACCAGCAGAGTCGTTTAGGGTTTTCGAAAGCGATCAACGTGTTCCCGTCCTGTCTCGTGTGCGCTGCATGCGTCTGAACCACACAAAAAGTTGTACATGCCGTCCCTCTCACTTCATTGCAGTATCCCTGGGTGGGAGGGGGCTTCATTTCGGGGGCGGCGCGAGCATCGCTACCACCAAACAAGCGCAGTGTACCAGATAAGTATCTTATTGTGCCCATTGCCCTCCTTTTTTGGAGCGCACCCAGCACGCTGTATGCTACTATTACACCTAAGTATTACGAAGGATGCTGCCGCCTTTTGTGCACCTCAACCGTCCGCCTTCCAATGACCCACAGGTTAAAAGGTTTTCGGTGGGGGACGGGCGTTAGCAATAGCAGGGCCAGCCCCAGCAGCGCGGTTTCATCCCGATCCACGGCGCGAAGGATCTTCGGCGGCCGAGGCGGCACCAGCACGATGGCCTTGGAGCCCGATAACCCGACTTTCGTGCTGACGGTGCTGGGGGATTTGCACTTGGATCCCGCGTGAGTGGGAAGCCGTGTCGAAATAGTTGTCGTCTTCATACCGAGGATTGTTTCTGCCGATGTACCTTTGTGCTCCGCGTGAGTCCATTCCACTCCGGCCGGGAAAGATATTCCGATTCCTTTCCAAGGCCACGATTACGTGTGAATTTGTTCTCCGTGCGAAGGAAACAACACCGCCACGAAGCAGCTTTTCTTCACTTTGTGGGACCCCAGCCAAGCGTTTCGATTGCCATGTGAACAAGAGCGATTGACGGGCTCGATAGACACCACTTCCGGGCACGGGAGGTGCCTGCATAACTCAGAGGCGGCACCTCCCGGTCAACGGAGGTAAAGGGTACCAAAGAGTACTTCTAGTTTGCAATACTAGGGAACGACGACGGGGACGGGGTCAAAAGCGCACGTCTTCATGACAGCCCTTTGCCCCCCCGCTCCCCCCCACCACTTCTGTGCCAACACTGCTCATGGTGCTGCCAATTTGCTACCGGTGCTGCTGCTGCTGCTGCTGCTGCTGCTGCGGTTAGTGATATGGGAGCGCATGAGGAAGCGCGCGATCAGATCGTCCACCAAATGGAGGTACGGACTCGAGCATGGTCCTTCGGTAGGGTTGCACTGCTACAAACGACTGAGGGTCTTGGCTGACACAACGTGGCCGCACGGCATCATGTACCGCACCACACACATGCGAATATACCCATAGTGTCCCCTTAGAGCTGGCGTTCCCCTTGCAATCGTTGGCCCCCACAACGTCAGCGTGCTAGCATTGTTGCCGTCTGTACACGTGTCGCCGGAGTGTTCGTTTTGTTCAAGATACTCGAGAATATCGTGGTGGGGGGGGATACGTTTCGAGTAGCCATCCTGAACATCGTCCATCACTAGTGGTGCTGGTGCTGCTGTTTTTTGTTGCTGTGTTTGTTCGTTTTGCTTGTTTTGTTTTGCCATTTTATTTGACGTACACCCCCGCCCACCGTTCAAGCTAGAAAATGCTCGACACCATATGATCCATGTCGTTGGATTTGCTAGTGCAAGAATCGTTTGCCAAGTGTGACTGCTGAGCAAAACGTTTACCTGGGGGGGGGGTGAACGTAACGAGCCGAAACCCTTCTTGTAACTAACTCCTCGTCGAGAAGTCTACACCGTGCTGTCGGGGTCGTGCGATCGTCTGGCAACCTCGTGTCAACTCGGGGACTCGATCAATGTCCTTTTGTCTTTTTTTCGCCGGAGCGCTCTATGTTGGGTACTTCTGTCTGTCTGTCTGTCTACCTGCCTCCCTCTCTCTCCCCCCCCCACCCTCCCCACCCCATTCCCTCTCTCTCCCTCCGTCTCAATCTCTGTTTTTCTCTCTCCCTATCTCCCTCTCTTTCTGGCTGTCGTTGTGGTTGTCGTTGTATGCCTTCTTGTTTGCTGATCTTGTCCCGTACTCCGTACTCTCGTTTTTTCCAATTTTCTGACGTGGCCATGAACCCCACCGCTCAAGCAGGCGGAGGCATTCCTCATGGAGACGGAAAACTTGCACGTGGTATCCTTGGGCGATCTCGGGGCGTACGGTGAGGCGGCTCTGGGACAGGGGTGTGGTGCGACCTGTGCATAAGGCTAGTTCTTCGTCCGTCCGTTCTGAAGAAGACGGGGCAGGTTGGGCAGTATGACGATAGAGCTGTAGTGGACGGGCGAGGGCGGAGAGTCCTTGCACTCTCTTTCGTTGGCCACGTCGCACGTGCTGACTTCGCTTCTTCCTTTTTTCTCCCCATATTATATTTTCGACTTTGTTGCTGCTGGTGCTGGTGCTGCTCGCTCTGCTGTTGGTGCTTCTGCTGGCTGATGCTGCTGCTGCTGCTGCTGCTGCTGCTGCTGCGACCGCCGCCGCTGCTGCCGTCATCGGCGTACATTAACATATTCATCCCCGTCCTTTCTCTCTCTCTTCCTCTCTTCCTCTCTTCCTCTCTATCCTCTCGCTCGCGCGCAGGGTCCGCAGGCACGACGGAATGCTTCAGGGTCGCGAGGGACTACCTCGACGGCTTCCACGCGCCCGTGGACATCGTCTCGGGAAACCACGACCTGGAGGGGCTGGGAGAGTTTGCCACGGACCGAGAAAACCTCGCCGCGTTCCAGGTCACCAGCAAAGTGTTTTGTTGCTGTTTGGTCCGTCAGCGCGTCAGCGCTGTGTCGGTTTGCTTTTTCTTCTTTTGCGGGTGTCTTGTTTTTCGCGATTCTCACTTTGTGGGATCTGATTTTGACAGGGGCGAGAGGGGGGGCAGAGAAATTGTACGACTTCGAACGGCATAGGCGCAGCAGGCGAGAGTGCACCCACTTTGACGGTGTGTCTGGAGTCGAGGGACTCGACGAGTTTGTTGTCTCCAATATAACATGGTCGTTGGATCGTTGACTGCGCCGCTTTTCGTTGCTCGTCAGGCGGCCTTCGACAAGGAGAGCCCGCAGTTCTCGGCCGTTATCGCAGAGAAAACCCTGTGCCTCGGGCTAAGTACGGTGCGCTTCAGGGATGCAGAAGGCTCCAGGTGTGTGCCTTTGTCTTTGTTGTTGGCATCGATCCCGCGCTGACCGGCTGACCGATGAAACGACGTCAGTCTCAGTGCGGTTGAAATCACAACATGCTTCTAAAGGCGCCATGATGTGCGTGTGTGTGTCCTTCTGGTTAGCGTCGATCGCACCACCTGGCTGACCAACGAAAATTGTCTCAGCCCTACTCTTGGACAAGATCTGGGATCCCGTGAGGGGGGGCGTGGCGACATTTGAATGTTTGTTCGTGGGTTGTGCCTTCTTCTTTGACAGCATCGAAGTCTCCATAGAGCTAACGGACTAAAACGCTCGTGTGCCCTGGTTCGGCAACAAGTTACCACGAAAAACGGGCCTTCTATTGTTGCTTTTCTCACTGGCTTGAGTGGAAGCGGCTTTGGTTTTCCCGTAGATTCGACGTTCGGCTGGATGATGCGATGAAACTCGAACATCTCCTCTTCAGACGTCTCTCTCTCTCTCTCTCTCTCTCTCTCTCTCTCTCTCTCTCTCTCTCTCTCTCTCTCTCGTCCTCCTTCCCCTTCATAGCTTTGTACGGCCCTTACACCACCGCTGTTGCTGCTGCTGCCGCCGCCACCGTGATCAACTACACTCAAAAAGCCACGAGGTGTTCATCGACGAAGCTCAGATGCAGTGGTTCGAGCAGCAGCTGGCGGCACACTCGGAGGAAGACGGATGGAAGGTAACGGGATGCAGCGAGGACGGAAGAGAGTTGTATTGACTAGCAGACCGCCTTACGACTCAAGCGCATGGACGAGGGTTGCGCTCGCTCTCCGTGCGTACGACGATGCATCGCCTACTCTGTGGTGATGTGGCACACCTGATGACAAACGCCGTTTTTTTTTTCTTTCTTTCTTTCTTTTGGTGAACGTGTCTGATTTGATTTGTGCGTCGCCTGGAAGTATAGAATGAATTACCATACGTATCTTGGGTTCCCTCCCTCATGTTATTCAGTGATCATGTTGCCGCTGCTTCTTGTTGCTCGTCTGCCGCTGCTCACCCTGCTTCTGCTGCTGCTGCTGCTGCTCGCGCTGCTGCTGGTGGTGCATCCTTTTCTACATCGGAAAAGGTCATGGTATTCTCACACGCCCCACCCATGGGATCAGGGTTGCGGGTGGTGCAGGGGGTGCACATCAAGAACCAGTGCGCCTGGTTAAACCACAGGTATGCGGGGGTGCTGCCAAAGAACACTGGCGAGACGCAGGTGCAGAGTGCTAAAGTACGGATGATAAAGCGTCAAACAACAACAACACCGGTATCGGTTTCGACGGTGAATGATGATGAAGTCAGTCCATCGAACCATTCGTAGCCGTTATGGTTTTCTTAAGGAATGGACACTCAGAGAAAAGATCGGTTCTTTTGAGCAAGCTGCGGGGTGGCTGCACATGCACACGCACACACCGGTGTTGTCGTTTTCATCATGATGAACTTGCACTTCCTATGTGTTCTAGTGGGTTTGCTTGTCGTTGGCTGCTGGCCAAGCCGTATCATTTTCGGCACGGATCTTCCCCGCGCGTTAATAGCTCCTCTCGTGTTGTTGTGCACTTCCATCGAACCCCTTGCTGCAACCTCTCCCGTGATGGTTGCCGACCTTCCCCGCTAACAAAAACTTGTCAAAAACGTTGTCTGGGCGGGTCTAGTGTCGAAAGTTAACTCATTCCGGAATCTCGCTGTGGTCGGCTCTCATCGCAGTGTGGGAGACAGGGAGCGGCGATACTTCCTGAGGATGTGTCGCAAGTACGGCCACATAAAGGCCTGGTTTTCGGGCCACTTCCACCTCAGGTTGGCGTGTTGTTGTTGTTGTTGTTGTTGTTGTTGTTGTTGTTGTTGTTGTTGTTGTTGTTGTTGTTGTTGTTGTTGTTGTTGTTGTTGTTGTTGTTGTTGTTGTTGTTGTTGTTGTTGTTGTTGTTGTTGTTGTTGTTGTTGTTGTTGTTGTTGTTGTTGTTGTTGTTGTTGTTGTTGTTGTTGTTGTTGTTGTTGTTGTTTTGTTGTTGCTGTTGTTGTTGTTGTTGGGCTGGGCTTGGCACGACTTTGTTGTGCTTTGTTGCGTTATGGCGGAGGTGGGCACATTCTTCCCGTGTACTTTCGGAAGCTGTAGGGGTGGGTGGGTTGGTGGCTAGGTGCTGGTGGTTCTTTCCTCCTCTTGAAAAATCTTACCTTACCTTGCTCGCGTTCTTCCAAGCAAAATCGATCCTCGGAAAGTCTTCGATTGACTCAACCCGACGGCGGCAACCCGGTGGATACCCCCCTCTATCTTCCGCGTCGCCCCTCCATCGACCACACCGACAATATATGTCTTCGTGTGTCTTTTTTTTTTTCTCATCCCTACCCCATCCCGTTCACCCGAATGCCATTCTCTCTCTCTCTCTCTCTCTCTCTCTCTCTCTTCTTAGCTTGGTCTCTGTGCGACACGTATACCACAGGCGTTTCTCCCTTGCGGTACGCTGGTGTTTCCGTGAGCGATTTTGTTTCGTGCTTACCTCCCTCCGCTCGCGACGCCTCGCTCTCGCGGACTCTTGCGCCCGTTTCTCTTCCCGCTCCCACGCAGCCACGACTACGAAGACTCAATCAGCGTCGTGGACGGGTGTGCTTTCGTACAGGTGAGCGCCATCACTAACTCTGCTTCTAAGACCATTTTTTGTTTCGTTTTGTTATATGGGAGGCGTGTTGCCCTAGCATGTCGCTGGTTGTCAGCGAGGCAGTCGTTGCGGTGGCTTCGTTCGGTGGCGATCCTCGACCTGCCGGCCGCTTGCCGGAGATGCGCTACCCACTTTCAGTGAACTATTTTCTGCACATCACCAACAGCAATTGCACACACACCCGTTTTTTGCAGGAGCCGCTACTGTAGAGCGCGATTCGCCAACGAACGCCAGCAAAACAATTACCGTTTCAATAGCCCCGATGCTACCCAGGCACACGCCCGCCGGTCCGCTGTCTATTCGTTGCCCGTTCCAAGGTCGGCGTCATCGGGGAGAAGAGCACCCGGGACGGCCGGCGACAGACGAGGCTGGTCAGGGGCACCGCAGAATGTCTCCAGGTATGCATCCACCAGTCGTGGTGTCCCCCTTTAGGGTGGGGTGGCCGGTAGATGGGGCGGGACAGAACTGCTGCTGGCGTTATCTCTGCGCGCTGCCAATGGAATAATCAAGTTGTTGTTTGTGTGTTTTGAATAATAGGGCGGGCGGGTGCACCGCTAGGGCAAGCGGATCGGCCTTGCATGCAATCGTTTTACAGGGGGCCCGCGACTGCACGCTCTTGGCCGGTTCTTCGCGCTTCCGTGCATACGCCGTCGTACTCGTTTGCGGCGGAAACAAAACTGATTGATGATCCGACGCTAGGCACCAAAAATAGTGAAAAATCTCGTCCATCATTCGTACAAGCAAGGCAACAGAACTATACATACAGAGACGAGATTTCAGGAGGCGATGGGTACACCAATGTCATCCACACACACTCTCGAAGGGGCCGTATTTGTCGGCGCTCACGGTGCGTTTTCTTTCTTTTTTTCGAACGTCGGCACCGCACGGGCTTCATTCAAACCTGTCTCTAGTGTCTTCCTCCTACCCCCCACTCTGATGCCTTGCTGCAGTTGTGGCATCGTTTTTCTATCTCCACTATTTGTTGCAACCTTTGTTAGCACCATGCACGTCGTAAATTTGGAACTCCGTGGAATCGCGCCGGCGGCGTTCAGGTGCTGGAGGCAGCGGAGCAGCAGCACCATGCCCTCACACCTTCTAGCACCCAAGTTTTTTGCGCGCGTACTAGGCAATACATATTCACACCGTACCCCATGTGACATACCACGTACGTGTTTTGTTTTTCCGCCCACAAGAACATACCATACGTAATTTATTCATTCCGCTGGGCCCCCGCCCTGATGTCGCTGTTCAGGTGTACACCGTGAGCCATCACGTGGAGGGAGCGGCCGACGCGCGGCTGGATGTCACCCTCAACTACGATGTGAGCCAGGAACCTTCGCTCTTGCCGTTTTATGTTGCAGTCCTGCCTAACAATAGCTTTTTTTTTTTCATTTTCTGGTGCATTTTTTTTGCCTCTGCTTCTCTGAACGAGCGCTCGTTTTTTCTTTTTTCTTGATGCCAATTGTTTGCTCTGCTCGTCTGGATGGGCTCTCGTTTCCATGGCCATCACCCGTGCTACTACCGGGTTACTTTCCAGTGAAACATCACCAGCATTTGTTTTCCTTGTCGGGGTGGCGATGAACGCGAGCCCGATCGCTAGGCCGTGGTGTGTGTGTTTGTGTTTGTGTTTGTGTTCGTTGCGTTCACACCCAAGCCAAAGCCGCCCGTTCGACAAAAGGAGCGGCAGCAACGCGCGTTCTACCCACCGTACAATCCCAAGGTGGCTATCTTCTGTGTGGCTCCAATATACGAAGCCTCTATTCTTTGGAGCCCGGGTGTCCACCTTTTGGTGTAGTGCTCGGTCGTGTTGTTTATTTGCGCCGCCACGCGTGCACGACGGCCGTTGCGCACACAAACTAAACTTCATCGTTCGCGCGGTGGACTCGCGCTCAGTGTCCACAGCTCGTCTCTCACCTTGCCTGCCTTGCCGTTCTCACTACCCGCCGGTGTACCGATTGGTAGATCTACTACTGTAGCGTACATCCTGTACTGTGTTTGCCATCGAGATTGGGTTTTCGTCGCTTGGCAACGCCGTTTTAAAACAAGCAAATTCACTTCGTGAACTCGGCAACCAGGTTACCGTTGTTTTATTTGGCGGTAACCATAATGGTGGTCGAGTAGATAATATTGTGCGGGGTCGAGAACCCTCACTCCGCGCAAGGGGGATAAATCGCACCACGTTGTGTTGAAATGGTCAAGCATCCTCGAGGCCGTTACACAGTGCTTATAACTGTCTCTGAAAGTGAAAGCACCAGAAAATA